CTCGGCGAGCCTGAAACAAAATCGTCCAGGCCACAGGGGACGTCGGTTATCATTAGCCTCAAAATGTGAAAACCTGGGGCAATCTCGTAAGCCCTGTGCCCATCAGCGGGGCTGCTGGCATCGGCGGTTGGGGTGCAGCCACGGGCTTCACCTGCCACTCTTCGAGTTTAGAGTGAAGCAACATCGGAGCATCCACTTAAAGCGAAATCAGGGCTATGTAGAGCTGCTTTCGCTGCCCAAGCCTCACCATAACCAGTTGTGCGAAGATGAAACACCCCTCCGCCACAAAGCCGAACGCTACTACCGTGAACCCTTGGTTGCCCTGGCCTAAGATTGAACCCTGGTACCGCAATACTCCCAGACCCCCAACTGTAAACCCTGTCTCCTATCGCTTAGACCCTCGAGCCGAAACCTGCAAACCCAAACCCTAATTCCCGAAAGCCGCTGGACCAGAACCTGAACATCTCCCTCGCTATAGTCTCCCATAAGCGCCACTCAGCCTAAACTTTTGCGACTCTGATTCCCTAAAGTGGCCTCGCCCCTTTTCCTAACCTTATAAGTAGCAGTAGCACTTGCAGCAATATCAATTACCATCATGGGCCCCTGCCTCCGTGGGCATGGGCAAGGGTATGGGCCGGTTCTCCTGCGCTTGTTCTGGCCTCGGTTATTCTCAAAGCATTTCAGGGTTCTGGGTGTTGGGTTCAGGATTCCTTTCATCTTGGGGAGGATGTCGCTGTTGTGTGTTTGTGTGTAAGGGAGGGGGAGTTCTTCTGTGTCACTTATAGGATTCTGCAAAACCTTGCTGGGATCTTGTCAAGTCCTATATGCCGTTTCAGCCTTCGTTTCAAGTCCGGCACTGCATCACGTGGATCCGCAGCTTCTTTTGAGCCTTCATCGGTTTGAGGTTCGAGGCTGAGAACGTACATTGCCTTGGCAACGAGTTTCCAAACCTTGGCTCCACCGAAAGACATGCAGAAAACCAGAGTCCAAAGTCGTTTGCCAGGAAACTTGGCAGTCTGCTGTGGCGCTGCCTTGCGCGGAGACGCCTGCAGCCGACGTTCCAGTCGGAAGTTGAGACACCGTGTAAAGTGTCTGGCTCGCAGTGTGCAAAACGCAATGGCTGCACACAACCGTAGATGACGCGAGCCATGGAACAACAGCACACATGCTGAGACTGTGAACAAGAACAACAAGAAAAGCCTTTCAGTCTCAAATCTGCTGCCTCCAAAATGCACTCTACAACAGCAGCCTGTGGTTTGGAGAGGAGGAGTGTCGGCAGACTCCTTTCTCAGGGAAGACGGAGCGCAATTTAAGCTTGAGGGTGGTGTGTTTATTTGGGATCTCAAAGACCTAAAGAATCGGAATTGACAATCGGTAGCAAATCTCTCTGGGTTCTCCACAGAGACTGGGAAAAGAGCCCTCAAGCTCTGAACGCACCCCTGCATGACATCATGAACTTACTGGTGCGCGTCAAACCAGCCTGCGGGAGAGTTTTAGATTTTGGGGGATGGCAGCTGTGAGGTCCTGAGCTCCGATCGTTTAAGGTCAGGGAAATATTCTCCAGCTGGGTGTGCCTTATGTCGCCTTCTCCTGAAATGAAAATACTGTGCTGCGACGCGATTCCTTTGTCTACGACTTCTTGAATCATTGAATGACTTTCAAACAACAGCACCCTGAACCCCAACAAATCTCTTTTCGGCTTGAACCTGGCGCACCCGACCTATGGTTACACTTCTGACGTTTCTTAAGCCCGATGTTCGACCGGTGGATGCCTTGTGCTCGTACTTCCTACGTTTATAATTATCGAAAGTTACTACAACCCCTCAGCCCCACAACCAAAGCCCAAACCCCGGGTAAGCCAGCCGAGCAGACGCGTTCTTCTCGCGATCCATAGGGCTGCCTCTTGGTGTACGGATGCAGAGCTTCGGCTCCAGTTCAGGGCTGGTAGGGCCACAAAAGTCAGGGTTGCTACACTTTTAGCAACACTTCTGGGATCCCTAAACCCTGAACCCTAGTGACGCTTCGAGACCTAGAAGAAGGGTCTGAGGTCTTTAATGATACTAGTATCCAGGAAACGACTACAACCGGCTAGAAGGATCCAGGCTCCAAGCCCCCAAGTTTTGAGAGACAATCCAATCTAAAGCGACCCAAACCCCCAACCCTGCACCGCAAACACCATAACCCCTCAAACCTCAAACACCCTAAACCCCCAAACCCCCCAACACCCTAAAAACCCCCGAACTCCCAAAGCATAAGCAGTCCAAGCTACCGGGGCTCGTGGCCGACTTGCTGAGACGGCGCCTCTGCAAGTCATCGTTCTGGACCACCTGCTAGCTTGCGCAATTAGGGGTATCTTTTTTTGGAGTCCTTATAATAAGGATCCTACTATTTAGGGTACTATACTCTATACTGAACTTAGAACCCTAGCAAAACTTAGAATTTTAGCTGTTTCTTAGGGATTATTATCACCAAAATGAAAAAATATTTCTAAGTATCCCTAAAGCTTTACCTGGATCCTATAAGGGAGTTTCCGAAAATTAGGGGTACCTTCTTTTGGGGCCCTTATAATAAGGATCCTACTATTTAGGGTGCTATATTAGGGTCCCCAATTTTCGGAAACTCCCATAAAACTACTGCTGTAAGAGTTCCTTATTATGATTTCCTTGTTTACGTCCTGAAAAAGGCGTTCTATATGAGGTTAAGACTGACATCTCGGACGGAATGCGCTGCGTACCTGAGCTTCCTTAAGTTTCCAGCAGAATACATTGCGAGCCCTAAACCCTGAAACCCCAGCTTCAAACCATGACTTCCCACGAACGCCCTAATCTCCAAATCCCAAAGCGAGTAAAAGGATCAAGTGAACCACCAAAAGTAATGAACATGCATTCAAAAACACATGTTCCGTGTACCGTGCCCTTGAATCCGGGTTTCAGGTTCTTAGGGCAAATCTGGGGTATATACTATGCGTTTAGGGCCAGGGCATTTAGTGCTTTAGGTTCGGTGTCTTCGAAGCTCTTTTTCGGGCATGTGGAGTTTCAGGCCTTTCGGGTTGGGGTTAAGCACAATTGGGGAATCCTGTTAGTTGTTGCAGCATTTCTCGGGCACATAGGGTGTACGATGGCTTGGGTACTTGCAGTATGTAAGAGACTTTTTGTAGGGTTTGCAGGGCACACATTTTGACTATTCAGGGCTTAGAGAAGGGGCGTTTAGAGCGCGAAGGGGGGTGAAGGTATCGGAGAAGTTGATTTGACATGTCGTTGTCGGAGCTACGAGTATGGGTTGACATGGCAGTGCCTTGGGGTTCTCAACCTACGGGCAACGATGATGATCAAGAAAATTACCAGCGGAACTGGTTAGAATAATCGTAGAAACAGCAAGTGTGCTCATGGAGCACCTCCCTCTTCACGAGCACGCTGAGATCGCTGTAGCCCTCCTGGCAGGAGCTTCATCACCGCATAGAGTCGGTTTAGGGTTTAGGGTTTCGGGGAGTTCATTCAGTTGAGCTTACTTTCGAGGTGCCTGCGGCTTGAACAGTGGTATACTTTGGCAAGGACACAAACATGAGCTAGAGCGATTTTCAAAGTGCACTCCCAGAGGTAGCATCTACCCTAAGCCCGAACCGAAAAATCTAAGCCGGACAGAAGACGTGACTAACGCAGCTCCAGGTAAGCATGGGATTCCCCCATTGCAGCACTAAAGCTGCAACATCAGGCAGGCAGAGTGTGAACAAAAACCACAGGCATTGACGATCGAGGAACACTCTGCAACAATCTCCAATCTTATGCTATCGCAAAAGGCAACCCAAGCGTAACACAGCAAATCCGAAGCCTTTCCAACGCCACTGCCAGCTGCGGTCGGGCCGCCATTGTGTTTGTGGGTTCCTGCCGCCGTGAGTGCCAGAATAGAAGGACTCGCGGAACCCTAAACCTTCAACCGACACCGCAGCTGCCCCAACACCCAGGGCCCGAAAGCCTGTATCCTGAAAGCCATCAAGGGGGTTGAGGGCATAAGGCCTTCCATAGCCTTGTAAAGTCTTGAACCTAGGCCCGACAGTAGAGAGAAGAATGGGAAACGAGCCCCTAAACCACAGCCTCCTTCAACTTAGAATGCCTTCAACACAGCTTCCTGTTGGACAAAAGTCCCAAGCCGACTCCTGTGTAGGTCGTGCGATCGTAGTAGAATCGCTCTGGGCCGGCTAATGGCTGGTCAAGGTCCTGGGAGCAAATCTTCGGAAGCTGAACCCATGACGTTCCGAAATGCATTGTTGTGTGTATTCCTGCCTCGGAGAAAGCCCAGCTTTCTGCAGGCGCCGACTTTGATGCATCGCGCCGGAGGGCTCGTTCTCTCACCTGCCTCCATGTGCGCAAGGTTCAGAAGTCATACCGTCTGAAACTTGGGGTTGGGGCTTGGGGGCGCAAGCGTCTCCATGGTACGCTTCTTCCCTCCTATCAGAACACGAATGGGTGTCCATGCATGCTGGTCGCCATTACTTGGCAATCTTGTTGCTGCGGGCATGAGCAAACATAAGCAAACTTGAGAAGCTGCCCCACGGCCGGAGAGCTCGAGCGAATAAACAAACTGCAGCGACTGTTTACACAGGGCTTTGGGGTCTTTGTTTGGGGTTTAGGGTTCCATTTTGCCAGCCTCGGTGACGGATGTCCCTGCTGTCGCGGGGCTGAGCCGCACTTGTGCATGCCTCAGGGGCGTATGGCTAAGGATTTTAGGTACATCAAGGGCTTGAGAGGAGACTTGCTTGAAACAAACCCCCCGCTCGCCCTTGGCGAGTATTTCCGGGAAGTTCAGAGTGGATCCTGGATTTCAAGTAAATAGGGAGATGAACACAGTTCTGTTTTGCAGGAAGTCCTCAAGCCACGCCTGAAACGAAAGTACAGGCTCGTGGTTCAAGGCTGGCATATCCTGCTTTGGCGCCTTCTAGCCCTGGCGAGGGCCCTTTCAGCTTGAGCCCTTTACTTGCGAACTTCTTTTGGGGGCTCAGAGCCTGACTGTGCATGGCGTGATACTGGACGCTTGATACATTTCGGGGATCATTTGCAAGTTGCACTGTTGAGTACATGGAGTTGGGTTTACATTATTGGATTAGACTTGGTTTCGGCGGATCGCTTTCTATCAAGGCTGCAAGCTTGCAACCCGTCCTGCTTTCTGGTACGCCTTCTTATGACTAGTCACTGTCTCGACTACAGCAAGACTAGAAACTTCTGGCTTAGCCCTGAACCCCAACACCTCCTGAGGGCCTGTGTAAGTGGTCTTGTCGTAGAAGAACCTTTCGGGCCCCAAGCTCGCAACCTCCTCGGTGCTGCGCTCACTGGGATGCAGCGAGTTGGGTTTAAGTCTTTGGGGCGTGATCGTGAAGGACTTGAAAGCTACCTGCCAAACAGCACTGCCACACCCCCGATAAACCCTAAACCCTTAAACCCAAACTGTGAACTATGAAACCCGGAAGTGTCCTCTACCGCACAGCTGGTGTTGGACTCGTAGTCCGGGCCGTGGGCTACACAAATCATGTCCACAACCTGCCGGTAGATTCGGGGATTGGACTTCTTGATTTTGGGTTTAGGGACTTTAGGCTGGTACTCGCTTCGTGTGGCACCCACTTATTCTAAGGATTTTTTGTGACAAATGCAAGGAAACATGTACTCGTCGCCTCGACGTGTTCAAATTTAATGGAAGAGTTGGATTCCCTGTCTGCCACCCCACTGTGACACCACACCATGGTGGATTTGGACGGGGTGGAGGGACGCCATATTTGTGCAAATGCTCTGCCCGCATAGCAACGTGAACGGAACGTGTGCATACATACATATATACATCTGCATAAACACACACACACACACTCTCACACTTTAGCTCGGCACGAACTGATGCGAAGAATCACTGACAGACCCAGACTATGACGACCAAGACAACATGCATGCAAACATGCAGACAGCCACTCCAGTATTGGATACTCCAGTGCCACAGGGGGCCCACTGGCTAATCCGAAAGCAGGTACACAGTGGTGATCAGCCACTGCATCCACCCTTCGTTGGACAAGGCTTATCACTAGATCCCTTGGCCCCCTGCCTGAAAAAACCCATCGGCAAGTTGCGAAATGGGTGGGCTCACTCAGACACCATGTTCAGGCGCGTACATGCATGTACACACACACACGAACACACAAACACACAAACACACACACACACATACATACGTACATACATACATACACACATACTTACATACACACACACACACACACACACACGAACACGAAAACACACACACACACACACGTACCTTAGGTATATGTCAGCTTGCACGAATGTCTCGACAAGCACATGTACATCAGACATACATACATAATGTGTTCGTATGGTGTTTGTATGTACATGATATATATATATATATATATATATATATATATATATATATATATATATATATATATAATATACACACACATGATATAGACACGCATGCGCCGCGCGCGCGCGTGTGTGGGTGCATTTGTCTGTGTGTGACAAAATGTGTTCTCATGTGCGCATCTATTTCGTAATGCATGGTGTATGCAGTATACCGCACTCCGGACTGGTGACAACGTATGCTCATGCCAAAGCTGTAGACCAGTACTCTTGCTTTGCTCATCGTCCTCCCGCAATTAGTTTCAGTATAATACAGTGCAGCACTGTCTCCTTTTGCACATCCGGCGATTAAAAGAAAATCGCTTGGATTCCCCTTGGCTGGCAAGATTTGGACGGCTTTGGTGTACCTTTGTGAGGGACTGCAGCCGGCTCTACGATGATGAAGCTGAAGCCATCACCCTAGAAGCCTAGACATCCCCAATCGTAGCCGCAGCAATCCCAAACCCCAAACCGTAGTCCAGACTCTGAGGTGTGCTTCACGTCAGGACTTGCATTTGCAGCGACCCATCCATCCTATGCTTTTGAAATCGATGCCATGCGAAATTTTGAAAGACCCTCAGGTGCAGCGGCAAAGGAGCAAACCTACACTTTTTGTAAAGGCCTCGCTCAACACCTGCCACATCTCAAAGCCCGGGAATAGCCCTTTAACCGGCCTCCTCCTGTGGGAGAGATCGCTTTTGGGCGACCTACGCACTGTCCCCAGGAAGTCTGTGCGCTTGTTTGGGGTGGTCTAGGGCCACTACCGTTTAGGATTCAAGCTTTTTTCTTGTCTGGAGGCCTCTCGGGAAAGGGTTTGAAGTGTTGCAGGGTCGTTGCCTTTCTCTGTTTGCTTCTTGCTTGCTCTCTTTCCGTCTATCTTTTGCGTGTTCGCTTGCACGCAACTCTCTCTCTCTCTCTGTTGGAAGTCCCGGTTTCGGTTCTGCGGCTTCAGGGCTAGGACCTACGGACACACTGCTGGAAGGGCTCTGAGGCGACAGCTTTGTGCATTTTGAGCGTTTTCTGCAGGAAGCTCGTCAGGGCTTGCGGGTTGGAAATGTCGGGCTCGTGGCTTGGCATGAGCATGAAGAAAGGGTGGCGGGGTCGTGGATTCAGCATGAGGTAACCGAGGTACATTCTTGCGCACTCAAACTCCGATCTTCTTCTGGGTATTCCTACTGCAACTACTGCAACTACCACTACCACTACCACTACCACTACCACTACCACTACCACTACCACTACTACTGCTGCTACTACTACTACTACTGCTACTACTACTACTACTACTACTATACTAGTAATATTACTGCCACTATTACTACGACGACGACAGTAGTGCCACTCCTACTCTCCAACTGCTACTGCTCCTGCTCCACTGTTACTGCTACTGCTGCTACTACTACTACTACTGCTGCTTACAAATATCACTACTAGAATTACTACTGGTATTAGTACTTAGTACGACTACCACCACCAATACCACTACCATGACTAGTACGACTACTATACTATTCTTACAACGACGACGACCACTACGTCTCCTGCTGCTGCTTCTGCTTCTACGACCACCACCACTGCGACCACCTTTCTGACCACTCTGAACACTGTTGCTGGTCTGTTCATGATCACTACACTCGAGACAGCTGATGAGAATCTGCTAAGACTGCACTCCTGCAAAATCGAATGTCTCCCAAAAAAAAGAAGGGAATCGCACGGCGGCCATCGCATGAGTGCAAGGCTTCGAACTCTAGGATATGGGATCAGGGCGCGAAAGGAGTAGACCAAAAGGGTGGGCTCCGACTATCTCCGACTTGTGGAATTGCGGGGCAATGCGAGGCGGGATTTACACCGGCGTTGAATTTCTACTGCCAGTAGTATTTCAACCCATGCCTCGCGCAGCGCCCCGACGAACCTGAGGAGGGCGGTCTTGTGTCGCCCGTTCAGTCTCAGGGCCCATGTAGGCAGTACTATGCAGGCCTATTGGCCTATTCTTGGAATTTTGAGATCAGGGTTGGCGTAACAGTGTTAGCTGTTGCAAACGTAATTGCTTGAAGTTCGCGTCTGTGGGCTCGGCCATTTAATTCCAGGATTTCGGGAGAGTGGACTGGAAAACACATAGAATGGGTTTGGAGATGTATTTTGCTACAATCGCATAAGGACCATACTAGGACATTATTACTAATTGTTCTGACCCTGTTTTGGCGGTCAAGCAAGTTGTCAAAGGTCAGCCTCTGGCATTTGGCGTTGAAGGATGGGGGCAGAAAGATTCGCTTCCCAGAAGTAAGTTTCATAGTGTTTCGGCACGGCCCTGAGCCCAGAAATCTGAGCCAGAAACCCTGCAACCGTGTAAACCCGGCTCCTGAAACCGTGTAAAGCCGGCAGTCCCTTCCCACCCCAGTCCTGTCAAAGCTCATCTTTCGCGCGCCTTTCTGCTTGCCTGGCCACAGCAAAGCACGTCCTAGGAGTGTAACTAACCCCTAAACCCTGAACCCTAAACCCTAAACCCTAAACCCTGAAACCCTAAACCCTAAACCCTAAACCCTAAACCCTGAACCCCTAAACCCTAAACCCTAAACCCTAAACCCTGAACCCCTAAACCCTAAACCCTAAACATAGGGTTCAGAGCTGAAGGCTGAAGGGTTTAAGGGCATAGAACTTATGAGTGTGTTTTGCGGCCCACGATTTAGAAGTGCCTGGTTTGCCGGGCTTTAGGATAGGAGGCTTTTGGGTCTGTAGCTTAGGGGTTGAAGGTTCGTCCGGCTGCAAAGGTCACGTACACAGAGAACAGGAAGGGATGACAACCCCATCTCTATCTCTGAACCAGATTGTTCCGCTACTGCGGAGCTTCAGCGAGATCAAAGCGGCAAGGACTTCTGGGTAAGGGGAATTCAGGGTTGCCAGGGTGTTCTATACAGTTGCCGTGCCTCACCCTTTCGAACCAACAACTCCTGCAACATCCGGATCCTAATCGCTAAAGTTCAACAACTCCGATGATCAACCCAAGATGAGAGTTGCATGTGAACTTTGCAATTACCCATGCTCAAGTTGCGACTGACACTGATGGAACCTTGTTCGGCTAGCAGTACATCTCCTTGTATGGGCCCCAAACCGTACACCTTAGACCCTAAACTTTAAGCTCTAAGCGAAGCCTATAAACGTAAAACTCTAAACCATAAAAACCCTAAGCGCCCTTTAGTATGAAGCGGCCGAGCTGCATCTCGCGAAGATTAGATCGGCCTGTGCATCAAAATATGGGAGCAGGGATTTGGGGGGTCTCCTAGTTTCTGTGGCTGGAGTACCTCATCACATATTCGGGGCATTCAGTACCCCTTAACAAATCACTTTTATTGTGGGCTTTGTACAGTTACTGATGTCGGGTAACAGTCTAGTCTTCCGGGAATGAAATATACGGTAGCTGGTTCAATTTTCGAAGGAAGCGCGGCTGTGGAAGTATTGCCAACTCCTGCAAATACTTGCATGCACAGCAATTCTGTAAGCATCTGTGCGGCGTTCTAGGGTCTGGGGTAACAGTGCTACCGGCAGCAGCTGCATTACTGTGATAGCATTACATTGCACCGTGTAAGCTTTGCGAACTGCGTTTTCACGTACGTTCGGTGCGGGATCAGATGTAATCAGGCTGAAAATATACCATGTAGTCTTTCTTGTTCGTTAATAGGTGGGCTTGTTCACTTTGCACACTGAGTTCAATCACGGTTTAGGAAGGACGGTTTGGGCTTTTGCATCACCGCAACATGCATCCTGAGGCGTTTAAGAATGCCCACGACGTGGAGCGGAGTTCCCAACTCAGTGGTGGCAGCTGCGCAAACGATGGCAGAACGAAAGTAGTAACACGTGCGAAACCACCAGAAGAAAGTGCACCAGTATAGGCGGGGACATCAGGAGGCAAAACGCCCCGAAATTTGCCAGTATGGTTTGCCTGCTTCCATGAGTGATCCAAAATGCACTCTACCTCGCCCACCGTTCTAAGCTCAAGGCTTCAATGATAAATTATAGCACATCCGAGTATTCGTGACAATTCTGCAAGACAGAATCTCCACTCGGCATGGAGCTTGAGAAGACCCTTGAATCCTAATCCGACTCCCTGCCTGGACTGTCTTCAGCCTCTCATCCAGCAGGCCTTCACGGGTCCCGTGCTTTCTGGCGGTTTGGGGCCTTAATAATTAGAATAGGGTCTTTAAGGTATACTGTACTAGAATAAGGAACCCTCAAAATAGTATGAGTATTTATTTAAGCCCCTAAAAAAGGGGCCAGGGGCCAGGCTTGGGTGCAAAAACTGAATGTCTGAGCTTTGCAGATCTTCCGGAAGAGTTTGTTGGCGGCTTACGAAGGTGGCGTCTAGGCACGGATCTGGAGGTGCATTTTATTCTAGTTTTGCGGATCCGGCTCCTACGGGGGAGTTGTAGGGGTTTAAGGTCTAGAGTTTAGGTTTGGCCGCTTAGGGCCTACGATGACTTCTCTCTGCCGGTGCAGCACTGGGAACCCACCGAACCTTGTTATCACTCTTTCGGTCGGCTTCCCGACCGGCAGTCAAGCTGAGCATTCCGGTATGCAAACTTTGCATGTATTTTGTAGTACTAGAACTATGGTCAAGACTACTGGCATTGCTACCAGTAGTATGTGTTTATGAGGGAGAGAACCATCTTGAGTACTGTGGTTTGCTCCTGGCATTTCCTGTGCCATGCTAAAGGTCAGGGTCCCAGCAGGTCTCCGAAGCAGTCGACCCGCTGTGTGGATTTTTGCAACCGGAACAGCAATGCCAACCGCAACAGCAAAACTCAATATCAACAATGCTGATAGTGTTGCTGTCGTGGTGGTGGTGGGCGTTGTTGGGGTCGCGGTCGTGGTTGTTGTTGCTGCTGTTGCTGTGGTCGTTGTTGGGGTCGCGGTCGTGGTTGTTGTTGTGGTGGTGGCGAGGAACTCAAAACCTTTGCTTGCTTCGTTAGGCCCTCTCCCCTGATGCTTGTTCTTCTCGTCTCAAAACCGCATGACACAATTCGCTAGTTAACCTTCACCTCCAGCCCTAGACCACGACCACTCTATAGCCACCCTAAACCTCAAATCCTACGCTTTAAACGATGACTCAACACCCTGGCCCCGACCATGGTCCTGAGTCCTTGAGGCATTTCACAAAGGCACGCCCATCCATTTCCGAACCGCCTGCCAGGCAAAAGCAGGTCTTCAGACTTCGGGCATCAGGGCGTCGGAGCTCCGGAAACCTGAGCCTCGAATCCTTCTTCTCCTACACACCCCAGCCCTGAAAGCATACAGCCAAGCAGACATGCGGAGTTCTGAATATCAAGAAGGTCTTCCCCATGGTTTCTGGTAGGCCTCCCTATGAAACGAAAAGTTCGTAGAGCACGTTAAGGGATCCCTGCACGCAGCCACACCTGCAAAGGCGTAGTACACATCTCGCAAAGCGTCCGTCATGACAGGCGAGTCGTGGCTGTGCGTGACAGCTCTTTTGGCTGAACACGGCTGCGGCCGTAACGTCGGTGAGCGAAATTGAAACAAAGTGGCTTGGGCTGATGCTTGAAGACAAGGATAAAGACAGATAAGCTCTTCATATCTACTGCAAGTCATTCAATGGTCTACATCCGAAGTTTCTAGGTCGAGTTCCGGGAACATAGAAGCAACTTGTGACACTCACACTAGTAGACAGAGACCAGTTCATGGTCTTGCCTTCTCAACAGCAGGGCGTGTATCCAAACAGCTGAAAGTCACGACCAGTCACGGCTCACTTCGGGAGTTGAGTGATCTTTTCAAACGCAAGGACAAAGAACCAACAACAAACAGCTGATGTCTGCTTGATTCTGTTATGCTCCTGAACACCCCAAAGCGAAAAAGCTCCAGCGTCTCAACTTCAATCTTGTAGTCCGACAGTGAAACTTAAGTGGCATGCAGCCAGAAGCCGAAACCAAGCACCCCCTGGCAAGACCAGAAAATCAAACATCCAGACCACACAGTGGCCACAAATTTCACACCATCGCGACCGTTCACATCCCTGCCCTACACCTATCAAGGTCCCAGAACAAGACCCTGAAGCATGATAGATCTCATATCTCGGACAAATTAAGCCTCTAGTAGATGGCTCGCAATGGTCCCAACCAATCTTTTCAGCTGCTCTTCGCGTGCTCTTCACCACATCTGCTGGGAGTCGCAGTCCCCGGCAAAGCACAGCAGCACGCTGTGGTCCGACGGCCTGTGGCTTTCAACTCAAGGTTCACCAATTACGTGTACGGGTCTTATGAGTAAGATGATGCTGATTATTGCAATTACTGTCATGATTTCTACTGGGATTCTCATCATGAGGAGCTTAACTATGATGATTAATATTGCTACTTCTCTGACTGATGTGAAGAACACCTAGGACCTAAGCTGCTACTCGCCAGCCTCCTCGAGTCTCCGAAGCGCAACCTGGCCGTCGGGACGACAGGTTGAGAACTGGGTTCAGGCTTTGTTGTTCGGGGCCTAGGTTTAAGGGTTTAAGCCGGTTTGGGTCCTGATCGTTGCCGTGTTTAATACTCTTACTTAGCAGTCAGGCTTGTAGGGATAAAGGCATGGGCATTGACCTGAGCAGGCACAAGAGTCTCCGATCCAGAACCGCAGTGTGGATCGAATGGCGCCGCCTTTCGATGTGCCCTTAGTAAATTTAGAACAGAAACCGGCCCAACATCACAGCGGAACGCGCAGACTCCGAGCAATCGCTGCGCCCCAAAAATGTGGCATCCACTCCCCAGCGGAAGTTGCTCAAAACCCTAAAACCCCTAATTAATGGCCTCATCCGGCTCGAGAGACTGCCGGAGCATCGATTGGAATGCTCGTTCTGCCTCTCCTGACAACTCCGGGTTTTCGGGTCGATTCGTGTAGGTAAGGGTTGAAGGCTTCTCTTCTGGGGGTGGGAGGGGTCCAGGGCCTCAGGGTTTGATGCGTGTACCGAGGCAGGCTACGGCCCAAGCAACTGGGTAAGAACACTGACCAAGCATAGTCAAGAACAACATGCTGTCACTATCATAGCATGTCGCAAGGTCTGTCGAGACATGTCAAATGCCTGGCCTGGGAATGTGGCGAATAGTCAATGATAGTGTGATGGGGAGCTGCACTATACTTATGCGTGTGCTGCAATACAGTGCACTACTGACACCACTGGGTTGCCCGTGTATGTTCGCTTGTTGGAATATACTCGGTGAAAGTACAGGGATCTATCTGTATAGAGGAAGTAGGAGACCTGAACCACGGTGTACAAACAGTGACTTTGGTATACATAGTCGAAGGTCCAAGGTAAATCAATGTCTCGCAAAACGAGCTTCGTGGGCGCGGTGGCCGGGCCCGTGCGCAGGCTGCGATAGCGGCCGTCCACGTAAGCAGGTTCCTCGGCTTGATTGACGGCCGCAAATGCTACAAAGCAGGCATTGCAGAGGCTATTCTCGGAAGATCACATTGGTAACTGCTTACCTCGAACCCTTTGAGGCCGAAGGGAGCATCAATGTGGTCAGCGCCCGGCGAACTTAAGGCTTCCACACCGCTGGTCGAGGCTTGTGTATGGGCTTGATGTCATGAAACTCCATAACCAGGTGGCAAATTTGCAAGTGCTCAAGCTGATGCATGAATTGGCACTATAGGCGACATCTATGGCTCCAAGGCCTTTTTGGGGTTGAAATTGCAAGTGCTGAGTTCGTTATGGAGAGTTGCAACTTGTCTAGCTTCGGGCTGTTTTGGCTCGCCCCCGCCCTATGCTTGCGCATGGTGCAGGCAAACCGCGGTTGCAAGGCGGCAGCGTAGATATCACCTCGGATGCTGACCCTCGTATACTCCCTATTTCGGATTTACCATGTTGAAACTGCCTAGATACTTACAGGCACCTCAAGAAGCAGCAATCCTGGACAGACCACCTCGCTCCAAAACATAACTGTGGCGAATCCGTCGCTCTGCCAAATCGACGCCCGGGCACGGAAGACCTTCTGAATACCCTCCGGATCGCCTGCCCTCGCGCATGCACTGGCCTTGAAGGTTTCAGACATAGGACAGGATCGGCTGAGAGATGTGTACTTGTGATTTTGGCTCCTTTTGAAGTTTAGTTTTTTTTTTTTTTTTTTTTTTAATGGGCCCTTTTCGAACAGGGTTTAGAGTTCAGGGCAACCGGGTAAGTCTTCAAAGACCCGTGGTAGGCTTGGGCTTGAGGTACACTTTTGACATTGTCGTTGAGGGCTTAGGTGAAGGAGGCCCAGGCTCATGAGGATGAGGGTTTTTTAGGGTTCTACTATTTAGGGTTTAGGGGTTTAGGGTTTAGGGTTCTAAAAATAACTCAATCTGCAGGGATGGAGAGTGTCTGGGAGAGAATTCCTACGCATTGCTTCTGTTCGCACATTGGTTCTTCCATTCCCATCCAATCCTTGCAGCAAAATCTAACAACGGGCGGGCGTACTCTTCGACTCTACGAGTTTATCGGTGTCAAGCAGCCTTTTCGATGTCTGCGGGCTATCAGATCTTAGGTTTCAGTGCCTGCAGCCGTTCTGTCTCGAGGCAACATCCATTTGCCACAAGCACTCGAAGCCATGTAAACATCCTTGTGCTGGAAACATTTGACGCATATGATGTGCTCAGGTGTTCTTGCAGCGACCTTTCCTGCATGCACCATGAACCAGCGACTTCCATGACATCCACTGCAACTTATCTTGCGCGTGGTCACTGCTAGGACCGGGGGACGAAAAAGAAGACTCAAATCCAGGCACTGACTGTCAACTGTGGTGAACCTGTATTCCATTTTACGTTGTCGCTGCTTGTTCTTGCGCCAGAATCGGAGAAGAACAGCTGTTGCAAAAGGGATTGCCGCTTCTCACGTTCACTGACTTTTGTTTGGACCGACGTGGCTCTGACGCAGGACCGGACCTCGATGCTGGTCTGTTCTCACGCTCGGAATTCCTGCTGTCGCTTTCAATGTGGTTGTAGTTCCGGCCTCCGCCAAACATCATGAAACATCCATGCTACCTCAAGTTTGCGCTGCCTTTTTCGCTGCATGTGAACTACGTAATGGTGAGCGCTTTTGCATGGTGCCTCAAATTGTCAAGAATGCTGGCCTCAAGCAGCAACATCCTTTCCTGCCTCTACCATTGCCTGGATGAAGTTTCCAGGACCCGATCCCGAACCTCCGAATCCCACACAATGCCCGGGCGGGGCCCTTCCTCCCGTACTGCCGAGCTGCTAGGGCGGTGTACCTGCGACAGCTTCTTCGTTCCGGACTTGCACACTCGAGGTCATTGGGTCGGTGCCACGGGCAGCCCAGGGAAATTTGGGATCTCAATGTATGGGGCAAACTCGGGGGCCTCGGATTGGTTTTTGATTTGATGTTGGAGTCCCGGAACTCTTGGATCTAGGCTAATGTCACGCTATGACTCATTTCGAGGTCCTGCATTCCCCTTAGATTTGCAACACTTTCAATCCCCATCTGCAATCCTCGAAGCCACCTTGATCCCAAACGGGCGAAGCTGTGTCCTAAGGTTGATTTAGCCCTTGGTCCCTTGATAGGGGCTGATCGTTTTCAGGCTGCAGCTGCTGTGAAAGGCAGAGTTTCCAGTTGTTCTCCGGCATCCACTGCATTGATAGTTGCAGCTTGTGCAGCGTTCATAGTTGTTCTCAGACTGTTTTTGCCGGCCATTCCCATGTTTCTCGAGGTCTGCCGGCTGCACATGCTATGCTCCAGCAGCGGCACGAGTGCCGTTTCGTTTCAGTCCCGCCGTATGGAGTGAGGTTTCAGTGGTCCTCAAACAACAGTGGAGGCACAGGTCGCAGGACTTCCACAGATCTCTCTCTGAATACCTATAAATCCCTGAATCTAGCGTTGCAGACAAAGGGCGCCACTAGGTCCGGCTCAAGTTGTGCTGATCTGATGTCGCAGAGCACTCGCTGTGCCTTCAGGGCCCTAGTTCCATGGTCATGGAGTTGGATGTGCAAATTTAGGTTGCAGTCTTTGGAACTGGGAGTCGCACACATCTAGTATACATTTGCGAATGATAGACCTCATCGACAACGACGGCTGGGATGGGCAGTCTTTCGAAAGCAGGACGACCACCAGAAAGCGCTGCCTTCTACCAGTGATCGGCGGTGGGGCACCTTTCACATTAGCTTCTAAGCCATTCAAACATCGTTCCCGAAAAACTCCAAGCCCTACAATCACCGGCAGTGGGTCATCGTTTATGCCGGCTTCTAAGACGTTCAAAGTTCGAACATGTTGCCTAACAAACCTCCAGGTCTGTGAACCAAAGCAACGATGGCTTAATGTTTAACTCCAGCGAGAGGCTTTGGAAGTACCGCAGGGCTGCAAGCCTAAGACGAATCTGGAGGCCCTAAGACTCAGAACACGGGTTGGTGATATCTGACAATAAGAAGGATCCTTAAGGAAGAAGACCCCCTGTATCTGCTGTAGCTGAGCCAGTCCAAACATCGCCTCTGCAACATCGGAAGCGCGAGCAAATCCGGTCAGGACCTCGGGATGCAAAAACTTAAGTGAAGGCAAGCGCTAAAGCAAGGGCAGTTGGGGCCAGGGGTGAACCCAAAACCATCTATGCCCTTTTAGTAGTGCACTGCCATTGGACGACCGCTCCAGATGTCTAGAGTTTGCTTTAGAGCAATATTCTTGCAAGCAGTAGGCGCTGCCGGTGCACCGAACCCGTAGCGCTGAAACCCGAAACCTGTCCCAAAGTCATCGTCGCCAGGAGGCAGAGGTGTAGGCAACCTCATCCGGAGTCAGTTGGGCCTGGTGCGCCAACCGCTGCTCCGCTTCGGGCGGCTTTGGGGGGTCGTTGGGGCCGTACTAGCATCATATGTCTGGAGCTAGAATCTAGAAGAAGTAGGCGCTCGCGTTAAAGAAATGATACGCAATAGTAACAATAGTCGGCAACAGAATAACAGCAACAATAACAACAATAGTAGTAAAACTATAATGATAACAATGACAATACTTCAAACATGCAAGTAAATGGTAATAGTAGTAAGAGTATTATTTGCCATAATAGTAATAACAATACTAATAGCAGTAACAAGAAGAACAATCATCATCACCAGCAGCATAATTTCCATCATGATCATCATCATCATCATTCTCATCATCGTATTAATACTTTTTCATGGTATAACAAGAACAAGAGTGATGACAATCATGGAAACAATAGCAACAATGATAACACTGACAACAACAATAATAACAATAAGGGCAACGATAGCAATAATACCAACAATAATAGATATACACTGACAGTTACAATAGTAACGATAACAGTAGCCGGAATAATAACACCAGTAGTACTTATAATGGTAACAGTGACAGTCATACATACCAATAGCAATAACACAGATCACAACAGCAATAACGATCCCACATACTCTACTCCGGATCAGGCTCTCGGCTCGGGGGGCACGTTGTGGTGTGATACGTAAGAACCAAGCTGAAGGTGGAGGAATACCGGAGTCCGCAACATGTCGCAGTATGAGACCAAGAGTTCAAGGTGAATCGGGCTTGACTTGGCTGCAACTCGTCGCTGTCGGAAGCACATCCTGATGGGATCCCTTGCATCAAATCAGTCTTCCCCCTCCCTGAAGGGGAAGCCCTAAATCAGAGTTTCAGGTTCTTTCCTGGGTTCTTCGGGGTCCATGGGTGTGACAAGACTAATCTAGGGGTCTCAGTGGTCAGAATAGGGTGATGGGGCATACTGGAGTAAATATCTACGAAGGACCGCTACCGAATAATTGTAGTAGTAATTCCGCTTCTATCGCACTGTTCCTTAGCCTCACTGTAAACCGTGCCCAAACACACGTTTCAATTGTTGAGGCCCCTGTTTTAAGAGGTGTCCGGCCTCCACCATGGCCCTCAGCCAGTCGTCAGCGCCTGCGACATCGCCCGACCTCGTGCAGCTCTCGATGAGGCTCGTGTACCTGAGGAGGCTTTAGAGTTCAGGGTCTTTAGTGGGATTTCCGGTTTAGAGTGTAAAGAACGTCGCAGATCCCAACACCCTGGACTCCCTGGATTCGACCAAATGCAAGTCCTGCAGCCAGTTACGGCCTTTTCTATAAAGTCTAGAAATTGCAATCAACATCTGCAACAACACGATTTCTTCCCTCCCCGCGGGCATCTTTGTCAACAACAGGCTGACCGGCTGTCCCCCAGATGGCAACGACAACGAAGAAGGAGTCAACATCAAGATCAACAGGAAAACCGTGATCAAACACCTGCGACCATAGCTGCTATCATCAGGAACGTGCAGGCTTAATTCAGCCGAGATGCGTGATTTCATCCGGAGAGAGACTCAGGGATTTCATCTCGGAGAACCACTTCTGAGCTTCTGCTGGCTTGCGCGCTTTGGCGCATCCATGCATCAGTGCATTACCTCGGTCGGGCATGTTGAGTGCTTGCAATGTGCTTAAAACTCCAACCTTACCAGGATGACGACTTTGCTTCACTGGAAAATACTACCTGTTCAAGCCATGCAGTGATACGTAGGTCTCGCAGGCATCATGAATTGTCAGATCGAACGTCAGATTTTTTATACCATGGCACAGGCTGCAGGTGTCAGGGAGGAGACCGAAAGAAATGGCAAGCATCTGAAGAGTACCACAGTTTGCAGGACTTAGGGGCTTGGATCTGCTTAGGGTTTCGGAACTCGCAACTTACAAGCCCCATCCTCCTCCGAGGCATCCGAGCGGCACGAGATGATGTCCTAAGTCATGTTGCAGCTAGGTCCGATGGAAGGGCGGTGTGCGTACCAAGTCAGTCCGGAATGTGCCTAGACCGTATCGGATGGTCTCGAGCCGAGCTCCAAAACCGATCGACACACTAAACCTACCAAGGTTCTGCAGACGATGAACATCATCTTGAGCAGCACCGCCGTTGCATCGAAAGTGCACCACAACCATCATCGTCTTCTTCTGTGTCACAGCAATCGCTCTCACAATCACTATGCCCGTCATCCCTGTCAACGGCCATCATCTCTTTTGTGCCAACAGCATCTTCGGCGGCATATTCAACACTTCACTAGATATCACCTGCACCGTGACCGACGTCAACTTCAACCTTTTCATGGCCTTGTTGCTTTCCACGTCGTCACTTCCTTCCGAGTGTTCGCTTGTATGTTCGGCATCGTCACCACTATCCTCCTCCTCATCATCGTGTGCAAGCAGGGTGCATCTGCAAAGCTTTGGGCAAACAACAATGGTTCGGTGTGGTGATAACGAGGAAAGCTCTGTCATATGGCAATTGGAGCGAAGAGGCTGATGATAGCTGTCACTCTCGCAGAAGGTGAACAAGAGACTGTTGACGGAAGTTGTAGGTTGCTCTAGCGACTACCTCCCACTTACATGGCCTTGCATGCAGCCACATGGCACTTTTGTCCAGCTGTTGCTGCTGCGACCGCCACACTGAATCTTTATGGGAGTTGTGCAAAGACAAAACACCACAGCCCAAAGGATGCTTTTTACATGTAAGCATGAGAGGGAAAGCATCGGTAGTTCTCTTTCAATTTTCGAAACAACTGTTCGTTCTCGCAGAAGCACTGAACCTGCTTTTGTTTCGGGCCGAGGTGCCGGAGGGACCCGCGCGGTCACCATTTTTGTGAAAAGCTTGGCGGCCTGACCATATCAACGGTGAAACTCGTCATGTCATGCTAGGCAAGAAAGCAAAGTACGTCAAAGCCACCAGCACCATGAACATGTCCGATGCGAAGGCTCAGCCATTCAAGTACAAGCGCTGATACTGACTGTGTGCCGTGTGGAAGCAGTGGCGACACAACCTGCAGAGTGATGCAGTTGCGTTTTGTGGATACCTATACCGCGCACATCCTAATCTGAGAGCAGAGTGGGTATGACGAGGATGACGATGATTACTGTTCTCAGTTTTCTAGCTCTAGTTGCCAGATGATTGCTCCCTGCAGTGTCATTTCTGTGCTTGTGCTCACGCCTACTCCTCTTACACTCACGACACAGGACCATCCAGAGGAGGCTGCTTAAGGCTGGGGCTGCGATGCAGCTGACCACCAAAGGCACTCGATGCTGATGCTGAAAAACATGGCTTAGTCAGAGCTACAAGTATCAAGATTAGGGTTTAGGCGAAGAAAGTATCTTCCAGGAAACCCCAGCAGCAGCAGCAGCAGCAGCAGCAGCAGCAGCAGCAGCAGCAGCAGCAGCAGCAGCACCAGCACCAGCACCAGCACCAGCAGCAGCAGCACCAGCACCAGCACCAGCAGCACCAGCACCAGCAGCACCAGCAGCACCAACACCAGCAGCACCAGCAGCAACAGCAGCAGCAGCAGCAGCAGCAGCAGCAGCAGCAGCAGCAGCAGCAGCACCAGCACCAGCACCAGCACCAGCAGCTGCACCCCCACCGCCACCGCCTCCACTGCAACAACAACAACAAACCAGCAGCGACAACCACCACAACACCCACAACAACAACCGCATCAGCCGTGCAACCCAGCCTTCTCTGTCCTCCCTGCGCCCGCATTTCCGGAGATCAGCAGGTTGTAAGAGACCACCGAAGGGGTCTGGAGGGTGGCTTGAAGGTTTCAAGTTCCAAACTACGAGATACTCGAACTCAGTCTGTAAAGTCGAAAACAGACGCGAAACTTCTCCAGCTTCATCAACGAGACAGCGCAAACCCTTGTATCAAAACGGAGCCAATGCAACGTGACGAAGGGGGCCTACCGTCGAAGTGGGGTCTGTTGGCAGGATAGCAGGGGGAGCTTTTTGGCGATACCACCTCCGCCTCCGACCTCAAGTTATTTGGCAGCTGAATTTAGCTTGGCAGATGCAGCATCTGACCGAAATCTCCAATCACATGCAAGACCAGTACAAGCTGAACCCTGAACATGAAGACTCATCCCCACACACATTCTCCGTTTCCTGTCAGGACAGCACTAGTAACTAGTACATACCCTAGCACAGAAAATCATGGGGAGCCGTGGCCTATGATCGGAACTGTGCCCCGGAAAGCCAGATCCATTGTAGATCCAGATACATTGGCCACGCTTTTGCAGTGAAATCTCCAACTCCCACCAGTGCTTGGGGGAAGCATCATTTGACCCCCCCCAGTGTTTGAGGGAAGGCTTGTGGCCGTGCTCCGGCAAGCTTGCTTGAGTCGCTTTTGCTTGAGGGAAACAGTTTGGCATCTCTGGCCCAGGTACAGTCGTTCGTAGGTGCTGCTCGGGCCTCCTGCATCATATATATATATATATATATATATATATAATTATTTTTGATACATCCATAGAAAAATCTGATGGGTGTAGGGAGCCTAGGGAGAGTTTACCGAGAGAGACGAGGAACTCACCCCGCAAATATCCCACAGCCACAGAACCCCGGACTTGCTGGACAAAGCGCCAGCTGCAATGCCACCATTCTGTAGAACCAATCCTTTCGCCACATGAGGTCTTTTCAGCGATTATGTAGAGCCTTGAGGCTCTGCAGCTCAGGGTTCGAGCTATGGCAGTCTAGGGACGGGGTTGTCAACATATTCTGAAACTTCCGTACACGCCCGAAGTAGAGCTCTAAGTGCATTCTGGGCTCCAGGCTTTAATGGCTAGCGGCAGAGTTGAGGGCTTCGACCCTGACCATCGCCGTGGGGCATCAGCAGGCTCCACACCCATCATCATCACCATCATCATCATCAACATCCTGATCATTACCGTCATCATCATGCCAGCCAATAAGTCAATACGTTGGGCACAACCATGACGAGTACTGTGCTGACGACTTGACGATACCGCACTTTACAGTCAGTGTTGGGCTTAGCTATCTATACGAGGTGCGTTTGATGTTCACATGGCCGTGTTTGCTCTACAAAACACGACGAAGCGACATGCCAAACCCTGGAATAAAGCCTTGAGGCCTCATCCGGAGGCCGAGCAGCCCTGAAGACCCCGAATCTCCGAAGCCACAGCTTGGAATCACCCTCTGACCGTCGGGTCGCCGTGGCGCCGGGAAGGTCCCCAGAGCGAAGGTTAGCATCCATGACCTGGGAAGGGCGTGGTTTAGAGTTTCAGGGCTCAGGGTTTAGGACCTTAGGAGTTTGGGGTTCAGGCTTTGCGATGCATAATTCAGCCATTGCCATGGCAACCCGAAGCCCACAAACTGTCCTGGCAAGGCGGGCCGCTGCGTTGAAGGCGATCTCGTTTGGAGACAAGCCGGCCTCCACGAAACCGCTTGGGGCAAAAATTTGAAGGCTTAGGACTTAAGGGCAACAGACCGATGCTGTGTTGAGATCACAGCCCGATCCTCGGAGACAGTAAGCTGCAAATCCAGAGCGCAAGGAGCTTTAGTGCGCGCCTATACTGCTGCTTACCTCGGCACTAGAGCATTGATGCTTTCGGAGGCATAACTCGCAAAGTTAAGTACATCACACTAGACTCAGATTCTCCCGAATGGGGGTGTCAACCACGATCTTAACCACAACCTGCCGAAGACCGAAGAATAGTACCTAGGATGGCCGGCCCGTCCCACCATGAATCCCATCATCCCGGCATCGGTGACTTTGTCAAAAGCTTCGATCTGCTTTCGGCTGAGAGGCTCCCGAGTTCAAGGGTTCAGCGTCGAGGGTGGCTTGCTCAGGCTCCGTCGTCGCTTATTGAGGTTTCGGGCGGAGAGCATCTGCAGATTCTTGAGGGCGCCGGCGATTCACCAGAAAACCTTTTCTAGAAACCCCCTGAACTCCTGAAAGGAGGAGCCCTGATCCCAGCGAAGAAAACGACCCTTCCCGAAGGCCTCCTGCAGCTTCTGGAGCCAACTGCGCAGGCTCTGGGATTCGGGAGTAACGTAATAGCAGAGGCAGGGTGTAGCAGTAGTAGTGGTGGCGGTGGTGGTGGTGGTAGTAGTAGTAGTAGTAGTAGTGGTAGTAGTAGTAGTAGTAGTAGTAGTAGTAGTAGTAGTAGTAGTAGTAGTAGTAGTAGTGGTATAGTAATATAGTAGTACAGATGGTGGTAGTGGCAACTCACTGGTAGTAGCAGCAACGGCAATGATACTTCGAATTATAGCGGCGAATGTTGTGACGACTACTATTCCGCCGGCAATACACAATGTTGCTGAGAGTTGTAACTACAATGGAAATAATCAGCTGTGGTTATTCTTTAGTCGCAGTAGCTAGTACTTCAAAACTTGTCGACGATACGGACAAGAGCATGCCATGATCCTTCTAAGAGCAGAGCCGAACACTGCCGTGGGTCCGACTCAGGTCACGTGGTTTTCGCCACAGACTACACGAAATACAGAATCAGGCGACTGCTAGACCTTAACCGTGTAGCCCTTGAATGGTCAGTTGAGCATTTTGCAAAGCTTCCCCTGCCCAGCTCCAATAATGAAACCTTGCACCTTATCCCGACAAGTCCCAAAGCTGTTCCCTTCGGCTGAAGCCTTCCTTTTACCCAGCACCCAGCCCTCAAGTGCTGACAGCGTCGCCCTCTGGCTTCAATGCATTCCTGAGCTTGGCTCCTCTGTGCCACGTCGGCATCGCCGACCCTGGCCGCGGCATCCAAGCAAGCGGTGTAGGCGATGATGTCCTGCAAGAATTCTAAACTTTACATGAGTCAAACGCCTTAGATCGTTCAGTTGTTTTGAGGCTTCAGGGTGCTGTCCTTGGAGGCTTTTGGGTTTTCGAGGTTACGGCGTGGCTTTGGTAACATTCAAAACTTGGGGCTGGCGTAGTCTGGAGATCAGGTCGCGTCAGCCCATCAGAACAAGCTTCCAAAAAGTAGATCCCTTAATGGGGATTCCTCTAAAGTACCCTTAGTAGTATAGGGCCCCAAATTAAGGGATATACTTCCTAGATCCTCCCGAAGTCTGAGTTGTTGTTGCATGTCTAAGAACAAACAACCTCATGGCACCCGAAGATCCTCCTGGCATGGAGGTTTGTTTAACGTCTGACTAGGTTTGCTTACGACTATCGGACTTCTGGGGCTTGTAAACCCTAAACGCTTAACCCTAAACTAAACCCTAAACCCTAAACCCTAAACCCTAAACTAAACCCTAAACCCTAAACCCTGTCCCACCGGGCTTTACTGGGACCATGAGTCTAGGAAGATTGCTGCTGATCACTTCGAGTTACCACCTCCCTCGATGAGAATTGGAACCTAAAGCCCCAGCTCCAAAACCCCAAACAGCAAACCCCAAACCGTATAGTGACACACAGTTCAGTTCAGAATACACAGGAGATGACCAAGAAAACCATCGTCCAAGGCGACCCACAAGCTGTTGACAATGCATCACGCAGGTTCGGGTTTTGGGTCAAGGGCTTCGAAAAGTTTAACTGATGGTTGTGCGGACTTTCACTGTTGGTATTGCCGAAAACAGTATCAACACCAATACTTCACAGTTGCAGGGAATTAACAAGACGGCGCTCGAATGTAGTGCCATGAGATTGCACAACTGCTGTTTCTTCAGAAATTGGGGTCTGCTAGTCTTTCCGAGCTGAGCGCATACATCAAAACAGCTGCTGGCCGCTTATTTTGCGCAGAGATGGTGCTACGAGGTATGGGTGAGCTCTACTATTTCGAAGCAGAGCAGCCTTTACAAGCTCGCATACTAGGCATGCTGCCAGCAAGGCACAGATTGAAAGGAACGGAGGTTTGCCATGGGTCCTTGCTGATGTAAGCTCGCATCAACATAATTGAGGAAAGCCGCTACTTTGAACAATAAATCCTAAACCCCTAAACCCTAAATCGCCCTAGTGGGAGGGGGAGAAGTCGATTCGTGAAGAATCCAGTTCCATGAATGCAGCTCGGGGACCGGGGGCAACATGTGTAGGAGCTGACTCGTAGAAGCGAACGACCGAAATGGAGATGGTTACGCCATCTAGCTGCAGCTCTTGAATACAACCGCTCATTCCGGTCCACAATGACAAGGAACAACTACACTAATGTATCTTGCTGAACTGTCTTGACAAGTTTGCTTGTAGAATTTGAAGCTGATGCCAATTTTTCCTGCTAAGGCCAAGCTTCGGGCCAGTTTACATCTCCAGTTAGAGTGCATCAAGGTGTTCCAGCAAACGGCTTCGGGACATGATTCTGCTATTCTGTAGGTCATCCTCAAAGTCCAGGCACGCTTAAAACACAAGCAGAGATCACTGTTGTATTTCACACTGCCAGAAACATTTGCAACACGAAATAAGAAACCGGGCGGTATCTGCTTAGGGTCAAGCTGAGGGTCTAGGTGCGGGTTTAAGGTCTACGGCAAGTCTTGTGCTGCGTGCGTCTATCATCGCGGGCCGTGCCTACTTGCCTTGCAGCAATGCCGCTGAACTGGTCCATTGCAGGCGAGTTCCCTGCTAGCGGGTACGATGGCCCAAACTGTTGCTCACAGACCTCCGATAAAGCTCTTGCCTAAAACTTACTGGAAGTTCTGGGAGAAGCAGTCCATCAGCACATCCTCGCCCATCAGATAGCTGGCATGCAGTAGCTCTAGGCATCCGGCAAACGAGCGGTGTCAGAATCATTCGGGTATGCGCGCTTTCAGGCCTACTGCTTTCGAAACTGCGGCTTCGTGGTGGCAGTGTAGGTGTCGGGTCTCCGGGATGCAGGAATGGATGTTGGGTTTAGGGTCCTAGGATCACCAGTCGAACTTTGAGTTCTCTTGTTCATGCTCGAGGAGCTCAGGCTTCGCAACTAAACGTTCAATGTATTTCAATAGACTATATTGCATCTATCTATCTGTATATATATATATATGTGTGTGTATGTATATGTGTGTGTATTCACAAGTGTATGTCCATAGATGTGTGTGTGTGTGTGTGTGTGTGCGCGTGTTTGTAACTGTACATACTTACATGGATATGTTCTCGTAGATGTACAGCACTACAATATTGAACAGGCGAGTATAGTAAACACCCTAAAACCCTAAACAATCCGAAAGGACCTTAAGCTCCCGAAGCCGACCGGAGGCTTAACACTCTCGGCCCAGAACTGCAGGTCGCTGATATCAGGGTATCATTGGGTATGTAGTTTTTTATAATATGCATAAAACAATAGAACGACATATAGCATAGTACAAATAGTATAGAACATAGTATAGTACAATGAAGCACAGCAGAATGGAATACTGAAATATGAAACATAACTCAATGACAACTTTGTCTAGTATAGTATGGTAACGTATAAAAAAGATAACTAAATGCAACATACACTGATTTGCTATATGGTGACACAATCTAAAATGATGTGGCATGGCATGCGATGGTGTGGTATGTATAGTATGTTTTATGGTATATTAAGCCATGACAAAGTATGATGTGATATACCTTCATATACTATACCAGAATGTAAGAGATAGCCGGATATGTCAGCAATCATTCTGATGCGACAAACTACAGAATGGACACACAGAATACGTCTCTCTCTCTCTCTCTCTTGCTTGCTTGCTTGCTTGGCGTATGGAAAGTCCAGCACTGGGTCCTCCCTCCCTCTGCCTCTCTTTACCTCTCTCTTTCTCTCTCTCTCTCTCTCTCTCTCTCTCTCTCTCTCTATCTCTCTCTCTCAGCAATGAAGCATCGGGTTTATGGAAGGTGCAGAACACCGCTTCAGCCTGAGACGAGCGATGGGTCCTAGCTGACGTGCATCCGATGCACAACTGGTCAGAGGCGCTTGAAAAGCCTGTCCAACATCGTCTGATGTATCTGTGACACGGACTCCCGAAATCAAGGCTGGCTGCAGACATCACCTTCGTCTCATAATCGATTTCGAAGGAACCATGCGATGAGAACAAATGTACCGCACACAGCCCTAGTCCTCAAACCGAGGGATTCGGAAAGTCCGATCAAAGCCGGCGAGAGATCAGCATCCGATCGGCCTGCCCCTGCCGTCGCAACTTCTTTTTCTACTGTGCCTGGCTCCTGTTATGAACGAGGTTGAAGATGGTGCTTGTTCCGGTGATGGTGGTTCGCTTTCTCTAGCTGGCGATGCGGCCATTAGCTAATGACGGTTCCTGACTTCGATGCATTCTTCAGGATTGGATTGGTCTGTGCTGCTGCTACTGGCCTTTAAAGCCAGAGCGTCTATAATCGCGATTGATAGGCTAAGGCAATTCAAGCTTGCTCTCTTTTTATCGTGGCGCGACCGTTGCTAACAGCTCGCAGGCGAGTGCAAAACTAGAACGTTGTGTCGTATTATGCATGGCCAGGAAACATCCCAACTTCTGAGAGCACCCGCCATGACTGCGTGGGCATCTGAAGAATCATTGTCGCGCCAGCGAAGCGAAACATCAAGAGAAGCCGAGAGCGGTGGAGAAGACTGGCAAAGACAAACAACGTTAGTCAGGTGTCACCAAGGTGATGGCAGCCGTCTTGCTTGAGGTTCTGAGTAAGGCTATGAAGATCATAGTGCAAAGATGGTGAAGTGATTGGACAGGCTTTGCGGCAAGACATTCTCAATGATACGATCACCTATGGTCACACTGCAGGATCGAGCAGTCGCAGCTTCCGTGAAAACTACTGGCCATACCAAGACGATCGTAATTGCAGTGCCTGGCCGCATGCTATCCAAGCACAAGGATGGCGAGGACTGAAGGAGCTAGTAGAAGGGCTTACAAGGGGCTCAGGGGTTGTGTGTCTAGAAAAGGAGAAGTATCGTAGGAACCTTAAGGAAAGTCATTGGGCATTTGCGTTGAGGCTTCTGGCCCAATGGGCAGCTTTGTGCAAGATGCTGCTATCTCTAAAGACTGGGAGTCTCAAGTCTCGGGATCTTTGGCTTTAGTGCTGCGAGCTTTGCTTCAGAGTTTTCAGGTTCTGGGTTTAGGGTACTGCGGCAAATACTTGCCAGAGTCAACAGACGATTGTACGTTGTCTGCCCACTGTTTGCAGTATCATCCTCAATACTCTTTCAAGCAACAGATGTTCGCTCCGTGTCGCGTCAAACAAAGCTCAAAACTGTTCCACAAGTGCAGAGAAGGGGTAGCGATGCTGGCACTGCCAGATGCACCCTGGTCAAGCAAAGAAGGATCAGGAAAATTACCTTACCACTGTCGTCATTACAGCTACCTCGTCGTTGCTCTGAGGGACTACAATGATATGCGTCTTATTTCCAATTTTGTGCACGTGGACCGAGGCCATTCAGCCAACACCAGAGGGCCCAGGAAAGCCCGCCCTCGGCCATGATCAGGTCCACTTTGAGCTTGTCATAGAGGTACGTCTCACACCCAACATCTTACATTGAAACCTGAAACTTGGCGACCTCCGCTGAGCCGAACTGCAAGAAGCTGCCGTTGTCCATTCAGACATGAGTATAGGCCTGGGTTCGCTTCATTGCTGAATATGCTGCCTGCAACCCCCAGCATTAACCGTTCGCAGAAATAGGTACAACGAAAATCACCTTCATTGCGAACTTCCTGTGTAGTTGCTCATGCTCATGCTCCTATGACACCAATTGCATAGACTTCAAATTCCCGAATCCTCACCCTGACGCCAAGTGCCGGACTTCCTGGGACGAATCCGAAAAGCGACCAATAAAGCGTCCGCAAGCTGAAAGCGAGGCTGATACTGCTAAGGGTCTACAAGACTTTTGGACCGCATGTG